CAGTTTTTTTTTTACATGGTTAAGCTTTATGTTGAAATTGTTATTTCAATGTGGGGGGAATGTTTGGGACTTTTAAAATTTGTATAATAAAAAGAGATTTTTAGGTCAGTCTTGCAACGGTGTATTGTTGCAAGCCGTAAGACAAAATGGACTCGTCCGAGTTGCAATGTACAAGGGGAGTCCGGAAGTAGAAAGAGATAATATAATGATAATGGCGGATGTAATGTAACGTAACGTAGACGTATTTTGTTGTTGGTTAATAAAAAGTTGGGAAATCATTTATGATTTCATTTTACTGGCAAAGAAAACTAGGATATAGGGAAAGTTGGTCCTTATATACTATTCAAATTGAACCCCGAATAATCTTCTGTAAAATATTCTTTAAATATTGCAACGATCATTTGGCTGTGATTTTTGATGTTATTGATCACAATTTCACTCACTGTAAGTTCATTTTCAGTTATAAAATTTTCTAAATTAGGAAAAGATGCTAGGTTCTCATTCGAAACGCTCTTTTCAATTATTTGAAATTTTTTGAGAAATGCTTTTATTTTGTCATTTACTGAAAATCTATTTGTAGATCTACCTTGCAAACTTAGATTTAAGTCGTTGATGCGATTTTACTTTTGTGGCTACACCTCCGAATCTACCTGTCACAGCTCGAGCGCAATCAGAGCAGAAGCCAACGCAATTCATCCAGTCAAGTCCATTTTCAGCAAAGAATTCATCCAGTTTGTTAAAAATTTTATCCGCTGTAGTTCGTGTTGATAACGGCTCACAGAATAAATAATCTTCTTTAATTGTTTTATTTTCATGTATATACCGCACGTAAATCATAAGTTGAGCATAGTTCGTTAGATCTGTACTCTCATCAAGTTGTATCGAAAAGAAATTGCTACTTTTTACATGATTGATGACTTTATTTTTAACATTTGATGCCATACTGTCGATCCTACGTTGAACGGTATTATTGGACAGTGATATCAGTTCTAGCTTTTTAGCTGACGCTTCACCCAACATACAGGTAACCATATCTTTTGCTGCAGGTAACAACAACTCTTCGTCAATTGTGTGAGCTTTTCCTGACTTTGCAATTCTTAGGCTAACTAAGAATGATGCCTCTACTGATTTTTCGGTACTACCAGTAAATGAAGACATGACTTTCTTAGTGCTTTTCATTTCTGTTAATTTTCGGGTGAAAAAATCCTTCGGTTTGCTTACTAATGTAGAATGTTTTGTGTTAAAATGACGATTCAGTAATGAGGGTTTCATACTTTGATTTGATAAAATTTCAAAGCAGATGACACACTGAGGGCGTGGCTCATTATTTACATCCGTCACCGTAAATCCAATATTTATGTATTCTGGGTCATATTTTCTAGTAATTTTTCGAATTTTAGTAGGTATTTTATCTTCTTGAATTACCGCACAATCTGGCTCCGAAGTGGAACTCGATGGTAAAGAATTTTTAACATCATCTTGAATCACTGCACAATTTAATTCTTGAGATGAACTTGGTGGTACATTATTTTGAGCACAAGGTCTTTTTACACTACTAAGCCACTTATCCATGTTAATTCAAATATATTAAACTTGACTTAAAATCATCGAGCTAAAAGACAAAAGAGGGAATCTAATCCTTATGAAAAGGAGACCAAAAAAGTGGCCTCTGATGGCGGACATATCCGGAAATACGAATGCGCCAAATTTAAATTTTCCAACACTTATTAACAGTAGCTATATAATATTTTTCAGAATGTGTCTTAGACAAGAAAGTTTTAATTAATTATTAACGATAATAGTCTAAAATGCGACACAATTGTTAAAAAACTTCAATATAAATAAGATTTCATGTGACATTTGGGACAAACAATAACATAACCCAACTAAATTTGATGTCAAACAAGGAGAGAGACTCTCTTTCCTTGTTTAATGTGGCCTCTAAAGATCGCACTTTCTGTCTAACAATATTTTTGCCCCCACTACCTTTACATTCCCTCTTTTGTCTTTTTGCTCGATGCTTAAAACAAATTAGATAAGTAATTTGACGAATGCTAGCTGGTTGGACGTGCGTGCGGACACTCGATAGCTTTGTCACTGTTTGACTCGCGTCGCGGTCGCCGAAAAATAGGCTGGCCAGCAAAATAGGCGGAGCTTAATGCAAACTAGACGCGACGGCGCCCCCACGCACCGTGAGCACAGAATAAAGAGGCTCCTCTTTATACTGTGCCATGATACTATGAATAACAAGATAGGATCTTCCCGTAGCTCAAAATCGGTCGGGTTCGCGCATGCCGTCATTGGAGAGTAGAATTTGAAATCTTGTTAAAGTTAAATGGGATTTGTATGCATTCTGTGATGAAATTACTAGACGAAAATAAGTTAAGAGGTTTAATAATTACAATAATCGTACACATAAGGATATCTCCAAACTATTTATTAAAGATTATTTATTGATATATACAAAAAACTGACATTTCGAACGTGCAACTCTCCAATGACGTCACAAAAACATGCGCAATATCTTATCTTATAGTCATAGTATCATGTACTGTGCCGTGAGGTTATTAACTCAGTAAATTTTACTGTGTATGTCCTATGACTGCTTGCGTACCACTGTTGGTACGCGTATCACAGTTAGGGAATCGCTGGTCTAGATCAACAAGAAAACCATTTAATTAAATGCAAATAAAGAGAAAAAAGAAGACAATTTTGCTTAATTTTAAGGTGAAATTTGGGAAACATTATTGTGAATTATATATTAGACAACAATTTTCAGAACTCAATTCCCATTTCTAAAAAAATATTTCCCATTAACCAATTGTTTTGTTTCTGAGATAATTTACAATGTATAAGTTTTAAACTAACTTTCAGCTTTGTTAAGATAAATATTTTTTTAGGATATGATGCTTATATTTCAGTAATTTTTATACTTACTCAATAAGTAACAGTTAAGATAAATTTTATAGGATATTACGATGCTTATATTTCAAAAACTCTTATACTTCCTCAATAAGTAAAAGTTTTCCTTTTGTATAATTTGAAGCACTCCTTTTTTTGATACCGACATAATTAATAACTATTAACTATTTTATACACAAATTAACATACAAGACAAATAAGGTTATTTGGACAAAAATAATGCAAAATTAATAGAAATTCAATTTTCAACCTACTAATTAAACATCATAAGTTTACTTTTAATAATAAAAAGAGTTGTAGGTATTATGAAATTGGGTGTGGCATTAAAGTGTACTTTAGTCTAAAGTAAACATTAGTTAAGGTTTACTTTCGGTAATCATTATAAAATCGGGCTTTAATTTTAATTCTTTTCACTTCTCATTTGAAAATTATGTCATGTTAATATAATGTCAGATTTTCACAATTATCAGTTCAAAAATTTTGTTAAGTGTGACAAAAAAAATTATTAGTAAAACATTTTAAGTTGAACTTTTATATTTATACTTTGGAAGAGTAGAAGAGTCCAAATTAGCACATATTAAATAATGGCTTTTTACGAAATAGTAGTCACAGTAAACAATAGGAAGAACCCATTTACTTGACGAGGGGTGACCATTATACAACATGTAAGCTTTATCAATTATATTAAAATCCATAAAAATCATAAATAAATAATAAAATTACTTTATTCAGTTTTAAACATATTATTATCATTTAAAAAATACGAAAAACATTGAATGAACCTTCACGATAGTCTACAAGTACTGATTGATCTTTTTTTTTTATTTTATATAATAATTAAATTTACTATCAAATGATATTTACTTATATTTTATTCCTCATTTCAGCATTTATTCTGATTTTGACCGATCTGTCAAAAGAATACAATGTATGCTTGGCAAAAATGCAGACTTAATATACAATGTAACGTTGTTAATATGTTAGCAGGTGCCGTTAGGAGTAAATATAATTTATTAAACCATTTTAATATAACTTACCTATATAATTTGTTTAAAATGTAAATAATAAATAATCAAAGTAGTTTTTCTTATTTTTAAAAATATTATTAAAATTTTTTGACATACAGAAAATATAATATGAAGCTTTGCATTTGTTTACAGTACCGCCCACTATACCACCTTTTTTTTTATAGGTATATTTTACAGGATTGACTGCGCTTATCGCCAGATAAACAGAACGTCCAAAACTAAATGACCTTTTTTTGCCTGACGTTGGCGATCATCACGACTCATTTTAGCTTGTGTACAGCAATTCTAAAGAGTTTTATTGTTGTTTTTTCACTTCACTGTTTTAAAAATTTTAACCAGGATGTGCCTTGTCTTCCTGGTCCTCTTTTTCTTTTTACCTTCGCTTGTATAACCAATCGTATCCACTCATATTTTTAATTTCTTAGTATGTGACCAAATTAGCTCATTTTTCTTTCCTTTATAGGGTTAAGTAATTCTTTTTCTTTTTTCATCTTTCTTAATATGTTCGTATTTGTTACGCGTTATGTGGATGATATTTTCTATGTTCTTTGATAACACCACATCTCAAAGCTGGCAAATTTTTTTTCAGTTGCGTAAGTAATTGTCCAGGCTTCAACTCTATATAGGTACAAGAGCAGTGAATACTATAGTTCTAATTTCTATTATCAGTTTTCAACTGCATAATACTGCTTTTATCTTATTGAAAGCGTTTCTTGCTCAATGCGCCTTTTTATTTCAAGGCTGAGGTCCCATTTTTTATTTAGCCCACATCTCAAGTAATTGTAAGGTACTTTACAATGTGTTCAAAGCTATTTTATACCTCTCATAGTACTGCGTAGTGCGATCAACCAAAATTTGCAGCCCTTCTCTGTTGACCACAAGGAGTATTGTATCGTCTGCATATCTGAGATGATTTACCACCGTTTCGTTAATTGAAATGCATTAATGATTTTGGAATAGAATATTAATCATTTAAAAAATACTTTTCTGTTAAATAGTTTTTATTATTATTCTTTAATTAAAAAATATTATAGGAGTCCTAAAACTTACCATTTGTCCTAATAATTTCATTTTCTGGAGCATATAGTGCCCTTGGTCTACTCTTACTTCTCGCCCTTCTCTGTTTACTTATATCTTCAACAATTGCGGTTTGAGGAGCCCTTGATCTTGCTCTTCTGACAGGTGACAGCATAACAGCTGGTGTTGCTCCTCCACCTACACTACCTATGCCTAAATAAAACGTATCGACATCGGCAAATTCATTTCGAAGTTGAGAAAAACTCCGAACTTCTTGTCCTGACACAGTGTACATACGTTTTGCACCATTCATTTTTAGTACTTGGCCTAAATCTTCAAGCACTTCTTCAAAAGGTTGAGTCGTACGAAGGTTGAGTAGAACTCGACACTGTAAAATAAAATGTTTTCCTAAGAAGCTATAAAATTTGTTGTTCACTAAATTATTGTTCTGAAGCTATTTACTTGTGGCATTTTAAATTAATTACTTTTTAACTGGGAATAAGCCACAATTAAAGGTTAAAATACGTTTATTGACGTTTCAATTTCCACTTCAGAAATCGTTCTCAAAATACAAACAGTACATAAACAAATTTTGTTTTTTGTTACTTAGTGAAAAAATTTTCTAATAATTTAATTTTATCTGACTCATTTATATTGACAATTCAGACATACATTATGCATTTTAAAGTAGATGACTTTAAAATGATATTGCCAATATAGTTGAGTTGCGCTCCTGGGACGACTTTACTTATTAGATAATTCATTCGATTACATGAAATCACCTTTAACTTGAGAATATCCGTCAGAAAAAATCATAGCATGTAATTCGTCTTTAACAAGACAAACACATGCCATGATGACAGTCAAATTCTCCTGTTAGTGATTCCATAGTAAATTATGAGGAAAAAACTATCCCGACATGGTAAGTATTTGGTCGTGCATTTAGTTTACCTTCAATGTTCAATCACAAATTAACCCCTTAATTTGTAATCTCACATTATTCTTAACTTCTTAATCTTTTATAGTTTCACCGTGTATAAGTTTGCATTATATATATTGCAAAACCATATCGTATGATAATTTAATAATTAGTTCATTTACCTATAACTAAATAAATTGCCGAATAATAATATTTTCTAATTGAACTTCCTAAGTGTCGCAATTAAGGCGTAGCTTAAATTGTATTATAAGCAAAAGTTAGGTGGTGTGATATGAACGAAGCAATGACCTAAGGTGCTTATGTATCTATTATGTGTGAGATTATAAATTGAGGAATTTGAGTTCAAATGAACACAGTCAATATTGAGTAGTTACCGAACGAACACCATATTGTGTAATTACGAGTTGCTGTCAATAAATCATCACTTTTACTCCACAACTTCAACATTTATTAACCCTATCATCATCGATCGACGAGAAGCGGACAAAGGGGCATTTACGAACCGAAACGAACTTCACTACTAAGTTCGATATTTTCCATTGGTCCTTCGTCAAAACATCATCAAAAGGGCGTTAATTGGTTTGGAGCTTCGAAGGAGACGACCCTTAGCGACCTAAATAGCGGTTTCCCAGTTCCGTACAAGATCGAAGATCGAATTCGAAGTTTAGAGAAAAGAAAAAAGAAATAAAAAAGACCAGAAAGCACCGAAATAAGGGGTAGGAGCCTTACGAGAGCCTTTGATCACCAGAGAACCTTAATAGCAGTCCTTAAGTCTACTATTCCAGCAGTTTGGAGGTCCAGTTTCCAGCAGAAAAATCTAGTAGCATCCAGAGATCCAGCTCACCAGTTCCAGTTGCAGTTCTAAGAAGGAAGCAGGAAGATACAAGTGAACGTCGGGATAAAACTGTAAGTTTTGGAATATTTATTATCATTTAGAGCAGTGCATTAATTTAATACATTAAAAAGATTATTAAAGAAACTTAAGATTCAAATTGAATAATACTTATTTGAAATATTTTATTCTGCATACTTTTTTACTTAAAATATAAGTAATAGTTTGTCTACAGCTAATTCAAATCTAATAGCTTAATTATCTTAATTTTAATTATATTCGATAATTTGATTCTTATAATTTAAAATTCTTAAAACATTTGAATTTCATAATATAGTGAATTATCGTGACAATTCGTTATTTTTATACACATTAAGAGTTCATTCTTCCAAAATAGTATTTGTAGTAGGTGCATTTTTATATAAAGAATTTCTTTTCGCTCTGGTTACAAGTGATAACATTACATTCTTTAATTATTGTACTATATAGCCGTGTCACAAAGGTTAGACAAGAGGTCATTTTGCGTTATTGTCTAAGGTAATCTTGCTGACACTAGTTTAAAAGTTGAAATTAGGTCAAACGTATATTCGTTTAAAATGGAACGATTATATTTAGATCAGGAAAGGCTAGGTCAAGATATTACGAAGCTTTTAAATAATTTGCGAAAACTACGGAAAGAAAAACGAACGAGAGAATATTTAAACATTAAAAGACAGACACTTGATGAATTGTGGAACGACTTTGAAAATCAAAACACAGAAATTGAAGAGAAAGGTTCGAGAGTTGATAAATATTTTACATCTAACTTTTACGAACAAGTACAAAAAAGATATGAAGAAACGAAAAAGATTTTAGAGGAATTTATTAAAAGTTCGTACAAGTCTTCGACAAAAATTAGAGAAACAGAAATTAGGATGGGGAAACTTCATCATTTATTGGAAGACGATGAAACCGATGAAGATTTACAAGAGGATTTAAAAGAAGAGGTACAAAAATAGATACATTAATAATGGAAATAACTGTGGATAATGAACAGGATGCACTAGAAGAAGGTGGAATAGAAAGATTTTATACAATGAAAAGAAGGGTGCGGTCGATCGTAAAAGAAAATAAGAGATTAGAGGCGGAAGGATGCAAGAAAGACAAAATAATATTACCCCAAGTGAAGTTACCCTGTTTTGAAGGAAAGTATGAATCCTGGGTAACATTCTATAATATTTTTAAACGTTTGATACATGAGAATAATCAACTATCAAATGTGGAAAAAATGCAATATCTGAAGACAAACCTCCGAAGAGAAGCAAGTAGAATAATACAACATTTAAACACAACAGAAGCAAACTACAGTGCTGCTTGGAAAATGTTGCAAGATCGATACGATAATCCAAGGATGAATCTATTTATATTAATAGACAAGATACTTCAGGCTGCGGAGATAAAAGAAAGGTCAGCAAAGGCGCTGAAATCATTACATGATACTCTCCACGAATGCTTAGAAGCCATTAGTAAACTAGGTGTAATGACAGAGTCCTGGAGCCCTCTTATAGCAAGGATAAGTATGTTAAAGTGAGACACAGAAACCAGGAGATTATATGAAACGTCAATTCAAGACAGTAGGGACATTCCGACATATAAGTCAACACAGGAATTCCTACAAAGAAGATTCCAGACATTGGAGATGTTGGAAACAGAAAGGAAAGGAACAGATCATAGACAACAGGTAAAGAAGAAGATAACCTGTGTGGTATGTCATGAAGAACATAAACTGTTGAAATGTACAACGTTTCTACGTCAACAAGTACGTGAAAGAAACAAAATCGTAAAGGAAAAGCAATGGTGCGGTAGATGCCTACTACACAAAAGGGAAGTACCATGTTATTCCTCTCATAGATGTGCAGAATGTGGTGGACAGCACCATTCATTACTACACATGTCAGAAGGTCAGCATGATAACAGAAGGAATTCTGAAAATAGAAGGTCACAGAACAGATCAAATTCTAGTGGGTGCCAGTATGACAACAGAAGGAATTCTGAAAACAGAAGGCCACAAAATAGACTCAATTCTAGTAAGAAGAGAGGTGACAACAGTTACGACGGATCGTCAAGGAGACAAGATAATGCCGTGAGCTGTTTAAGTCATCAGAATGAAGAAGTGCTACTTGCAACGGCATTAGTATGAGTAAGAGACTCAAAAGGAAGCTCACAATTGATGAGAGCATTGATTGACCAAGGCTCGCAGTCATCATTCATTACGGAGCAGGCCGCTACAAGTCTCGGAATAAAAAGAAAAGCTGTGTACGCTCAGATATCTGGAATTTTCAATGAAGACCAAAGGACGTCGAAATGGAGCGTAACATTAAACTTAGAGGCGCATTTCAAAAATGAATTTGAAATGAAGACCGAAGCAATTGGGCCAAGAAAAATAACAAAAAATCTACCAGAGAAAGAGATACAAATAAAAGAAAGGAACCATAGGAACTTAGTCGTGGCGGATCTATAGTGGCGGATCCAAATTTTAATAAAACAGGTCCAATAGATATTCTATTGGGAGCCGAAGAATATAGTTTGATATTACTGGACGGAGTATATCGAACAAAAGATGGTTTGCTCACCCAAAATACAAAATTGGGTTGAATAATGTCAGGGATAGCACAGCAAGAGAATATCCCTAATATACAAGTAGTCAGCATAATATCTAGACAAGAAATGGATGAACAAATAAAAAAATACTGGGAGTTAGAAGAAGTAGATCAAAGCAATGCTCTTTCAGTAGAAGAAAAAGAGTGTGAAGAATATTATAAAAGAACAGTAAAAAGGGATAATGAAGGAAGATTTTAAGTTAAAATACCCTTTAATTCTAATACAAGCCAATTAGGGGACTCAAAACAGCAAGCATATGCGAGACTGCTGCAATTAGAGAAAAAATTTCAAAGAGACAAAAATCTAGAAAAAAAATACAGGAAATTTATGTAGGAATATGAAGACTTAGAGCACATGAAATTGAATAAAACCGAAACTATTAATAAGCAAGAGTATTACCTTCCTCATCATGCGGTAATAAAAGAGGATAGTATCACAACAAAATGCAGGGCCGTGTTTGACGCTTCCAGTAAAAGTTCAACAGGAATCAGCCTCAATGATGTAATGCACTCTGGACCTCGTTTGCAACAAGATCTTACAATTATATTAATAAATTGGAGGTAGTACAAAATAGCATACACGGCAGATCTAGAGAAAATGTTTAGGCAAATAAAGATAGCTGAAGAAGATCAAGTTTATCAGTAGATATTATGGAGACAGTCTGTAAAAGAACCAATAAAGGAGTATCAGTTGTCAACAATAACATACGGTACGAAGGCAGCGCCATACCTTGCATTAAGAACGATACAGGAATTATGTAATGACGAGAAATTTAAATATCCACTAGCTGCGGAAATTGTTAAACACAACATGTACGTAGACGACGTACTAGCTGGATCAGAAACGTTGGCTGAAGCTCAACAAGGTCAAACAGAGTTAACAGAAATGTTTAAAAAAAGGG